TTCCACCACACTCGCTTCGCGTCTTCTTCGTCCTCTGCGTCTCCGCATCTCTCATCGTGGTTCGTTCACCGTGCACAACCGTCGCGACGTATACCAACGACGACGTCATTTGCAGGCGCAGGCCTAGTTCTCGAGTCCGCGGCACCGATTATCCAAGGCGAAACCTCTCTCGGTTCTCCGACCTGAGGTTTCAAGGTCGATGACGGGACGTCTCTGGTAGAGAGAACATCCTGGCAGCCGGTGACGCCAACGTTTAGCCGGAATTCGTTCGCGTTCCGCGTTCTGTTCCTCCTCCGATTCCGGACGCTGAAATCGAGAACGAATGGAGGGCATCACGTGTAACCTTGACACGAGGATACTGCTCGTAAGTGGTTCGAAGTATATGGTATTTCTATGAATAGTATAAATGTACAAGTTGGTGATATCTTGAAATATGTACCTGATATTTATATAAACCACAGTGTACTGTAATTCGTCCAGTACTAAATGTATTAAGCAGCAAAGTTGATATATGATTACTTCTATAATGTCAATACGTTAGTATCTAAGATACTTGATATTTTTATGGTCATTTGAAATATGGAAATTCTTTGGAATTTCATTTCTTGTAAGTGTTTTAGAAAAAACTTTGAACAATGTATGTTAAGTTAGTAGGGTGAATAATAATCCATGTACGTACAATCTATATTCTTTTAGGAGTTATCTAGTTTCCTTGTATAAAACGTGAAAGAAAATATGATGTACCTAGTCAGATATATTTCCGTTTCTTCTTCAAAAACTGAAAATAAAGTTCATGCTATAATTAATTGTAAGGATGTCTTTTCCTTATTATATTATTATTTATTATTTAGAGTTAACATTCTGTCAATATTTTCTTCTGTAGAAAAATATAAAAGATACACCTGACTAAAGACTTTCGCACATCAATAAATATCATTTTATTAATCGTATTTCAATTCCCTTAGAAATAACATCTTCTATAAGAATCTTCTATAAATCATGTAGTATCACTTCTACAATACTTCTGAGATGAATCGTCAGCAACATTCTTGAACATACATAAAATCATACCAAGCATGTTCTCGTTTCCTATTCTTTGCATCATATCAAACAGTAATGTAACAGGTGTTTCATTTTGCCAATGAAAGAATAGTTATAAGTTCTTTGTTCGCTTATGGGAATAGTTGCACAGGTGTGTTCCTTTTTTTTTTCTTTTTTTATTTTACACCTAAAGTAAAAAATAGGTCAGAAAAGGAAAGAGTTGAGCAACGTTATCCTTTAACATTAAAATTGCTTCAAGATTTTCTGCGATACTCAACTTTGAGTAATAGACCATATGTTATATTTTGAAATTTTTTTAGTAACAAATCTAATAAACAGAATTACGAAAAAAAAA